GCCTGTCAGTACGCGTTAACAACAGCGGCCGGGGCAAACCCTCATTCCCCGGGCGGCCCCGAGGCGCACGCTAACGCCACTGCCAGGGCCCAGGTCTGAGGCGAAGCGGGGGCTACGTCTAGCCCCCATCATCACAGCGTAACGAATCCGAATTCTGGAAGTTCCCTCAGCGGCGGCAGTAATCAAGTGGTGCCTCCGTCCGCCACTGCGGCGGCCGCCGCTACAGGTCAGCCGAGCGACAATCAGCTCAGGTCGCAAGAGTGACCCAGGCCTAGGTCCGCCGCCTCGCCGACGCTATCGTCGACGCCCTCGTCGACGACCTCGCATCCACATTATCTTATGTATGATGAGGACGGGACTGCGGCGGACCAAAAGATGGAAGTGGACGAGCGAGGTGTTATCGAGGCGAGTAGCATGATGAATCCCGAACAAGTGGTAGCAGCTACTGCCGGTGGTATTGGCGTGGGAGTCGGTGTAGGGGGACCAGGTACGGCCACTGGGACTGGTACCGGATTGACTGGTTACTGGCAACACGCGACTACCGCCACCGGCTACTGGCCATCGTTGTTCGACTGTTGGACGACGCCACCGATCGCATCCGGTTCACAGACGCTGTCTTTACCGCGGGATGACGATTGAGGTGACAGTAGAATTTTATCGACTACTCATGCGTTGGCGCTGTCCAGCTTCTCCCAATTTGTCGCGAAATCTCGTTTTGTTTCATTAAACATTGAATGTTTGATTTAAACGAAAATGACTCAGAGATATCACATTTATATTTCCGCTGAAAAACGCAAAAACGATTTCATTGTAGTTAATTAAAAATATATAGTAATAACTTCTTCATATGCCTTTATACAATTCGTAAGTATCGAATGCGAAGTCACTTATTGAATGTATTAATTGTAATGTAATACTTGATTGAAATTGAACGATGCGATGTAAATTTCGTCACAGAATTCGAAACATTTTATTTGTGAGTCTTAAATTTCTGTGACAGCTAATAATCTTCAATTTCGAGATGTTCGTGAAAATTAAGGGTAAAGCAAAAGGGTAAAAAACCAATGTCTATCACAATGTCTCACGATAGAAGAATTGATAGAACATACAGTTGCAAATATTTGATTACGTTGTAAATACAAGTATTATGCGAGTAATCGGCTACGTTGGATGCGATCGGCAAACTACAAGTTCGACTAGTCGATGAACTCACATATTTCTCAAGACAGATAAAAGTTAATGGAGTACAAATGTTAAACTTCCGCCGCGATGAAAAGTATATTTAATCCCCCTTCCTTCTTTTCATTTTAATATTTTTAATTAAACACGATATATTTATTATTCGAATACGATGCTATACACGATAAATATACACTGCGATAAAGCAACAAAATAGTATAATTGCGCTGAAAAAAAAAAAAAACGAGAAGAAGCTTTCTCTAAAAGAATCATATAGCGTAAAACTAATGCTAATTGTATGCTGCATGCTTTAATAATTTTTTTCATATGTAAAATGTGAGGGACGGGGATTAATTTTTAAGAACAACGGCGCTAACAAAGATCTCTCGCGGATCACGTACTCACTATTTTGTAGATATATGTATAGTAGAACGCCGGCTCTTTATGCCGAGCGTAACTGTATACCAAAAAATTGTTACATTGTAATGACGATAATAACGATTATTCAGCAGAATACTAAAATATTATAGGCTGTAAGTAAGCGGATTGTGCGTTGTACAGTGTATGGAGCAAGGAGCATCCTATCGATTAGGCGTACGTTATAAATCTGAATTAGTATTGTCGAATAATTACTAAAAACAATATTCACAGTATCCTCGCGCGGCGCGTGCAATTGGATTTTTCAAGTCCGTCGATTCCTCTTCCTCTTCGTACTCTCATCGTTCCAACGACAGTGTTTAACTTATTCGTATATACCCTTGATTGTGTAACTAGAGAGGCGTTAACGTAATCAATGAAAATGTCCTATTTTTATAAGTAGCTTATTATTTGATAGACCACGCGTTGTGAGGCAACAAAACCAAAGTTAAACCCAAAAAATATCACGTATGTATAGTAATTATGCCGCGCGTTGAAGCCACAGAGATAATTGTATAAATTATTACACATAACGGGGGGAGTGTGGTGGTGCGTCGGGAGATTTTGACGGGATGAAACGACGACGAGACATGATGAAACGGCGCGAATCGATCGGCTTCGGAAAAGTCGACATGCGAGCGGCCGATCGCTATAAAGCTCGAGGTATAGTCACGTAAGATAGGCGTAAGAAACGACCGCTATTTTGTATGAATCCCAATGTCGTACAAATGTTCGTCGTAATCACATATCCCAGTCCCTGCGGTGAATGATTCGTAACGTCACGCAGAATGTTCTTCATTCCCGTTTGTCACCTCACTCGCTACGTGTAAACGTTCCTACTGGGCGATATTGAGCGCCGTAAAAGGCCCCGTTTGTAATCTAGTCACAATAAAAACCAATTCTATTCTAAAGCAACGACTCGGAACTGTATCCCCTACCCGTGCGAGAGTTCGCCGATAAGATTACAATTTTTATTTCGTACTAATTTGTTTTACGATCTAGCGATTTTCAAATTTTTTCGGCCTTCTTTTATATTTAAACTTTACAAGAGCCACTATAGTGAAACAATATCATATTTTGAGACAAAAAGTACAATGAGTAATATGAATTATAACAAATCTTATTCGAGAAAAACTGTTAGATTTTAAAAATAGACTCCCGTCTTCCAAAGATTAATGAATCTCTAAAAGAGGGTACAACTTTTTTTGTGACCGTTCAAAGATCGTTTTATTTTTACATTTTCTTATGTATTTGTCTTCACAAGAAATAAAAATTATTGTAATAATGACATTGCGTTCAAGGAAAAATTGGTACATCGAAGGAAAAAAAATTTTTGTTCACGCTGTTACAAAATCGCAGTCTCAGTTATGCTTCAAACATTTAAAAACTAATTCAGAGTTGGTTCAACAAATGATTGAAGCATAATTGAGATAACGATTTCGTAATGTGAATAAGGTTTTATTAACTTTATTTCATACACACACACACACACACACACACTATGTATCTACTAACTGTTCCTTGTTAATCCACTCTAAATTAATTTTGAAATGATTGAAGTATAACTGACAGCAATTTCGTAACAATAAAAATTATTTATTTCAAACATTTTTAACTATTTATTCCTTGAGTAGCATCACTATTATGATAATTTTCAGTTTCCACGAAGAAAAATACATGAAGAAAATATAGAAATCAATTATCTTCAAACGGTTGCGAAAGAGTAAAAGTTGTACCATCCTTATTTATTAGGTGTTGGAATTAATTCGTAGCGTTTTACAAGTGATGGGAAGTACTTTCATTAATGTATTTTTTAATGCTCATGTGAAATAAATAACATTCTTTCATTAAAAACGCTACGAATTAATTCCAACACCTAATAGATAAAAATAATTATATTCGCATCGAAAATATAGAAACAGAGGTGTGAAAATATAGTGATACCTTCGTATCACTCTTCGTATTGTCATATCACGAAATAGAAGACATCATTCGAAATGGGGAGATGTTGGGCAATGAATGCCGATACATGATCGTGCTATTTATAGGTAGTTAGTTATACCCCTCGGACATTGAGGGAGCATCGATAACCTACGCGAAGTCCACATGCATGCCAAGCGTGTAACGTATTGCATTACGGTGGTCGGGACGTGGCGATAAATTATGCACCCTCGGCTGGCACGCGAAGGGTCGATCGCACGTTGGTTCGCAACCACCCTCATGTGCTAAACTAAACTAAACGTATATTACAATGATCGTGGCGTCGTTAATGGCGCAGCAGTTATAAGATGTTGCACAACCCCGTATGTTTCCCTATTATATGCATACGACAGTCGCGCATTAAGAAAGCCACCAGCTTTATTACGATCTGGTGAATAATAACTTTCGAGAAGTAATACGTTAATTATATTAATTGCATCGAATTACTATTTGTTGATTTATATTATATTATTACAATAACAGCAGGTATTATTGTACTATCAATTTTAATTATATTGCAAATGCAACGTTATCATATTTTTTTTGGGATCTCGGTAAGATTTTATTGCGCTACTTAAAATTCTTCCTAATTATAAGTCCAATGTACAAAGAACGTTTTATCTCTTCGCTAACTTATCTTCTTCCGTAATCTTATCATTCGTACGGCACACGACACTTTCCTCAAAATAATCTCCAAGCGCACTCCTTTAAAAACTTCGTTATATCATTTACAGTTAGAACGATTTAAAAAAAGCTTCTTTTCTTTATATGTATACTCTTTCAATATTTGGTGATATGTTAAAAGAAAAACTGAAAATAATTTTGTTGGATCATCCAAACAATTATGTAAAATACTAAAATAATTATGTAAAATGTTTAAACATTGACGACAATGCCGCAAAAAGTTTTAACATTCTAGCAAGTTTAAGCATACATAATTATTTTGATAGTCCAAACAAAATTATTTTCAGATCTGTATCTAGCTAAATTTTTAGATACTTCAGCAAAATTATTCCTTCCTAATTTTGTTTCATATATTCAGGAAAAAACAACAATGATGGCAACTATATGTAGATATAAATTATATAAGTGACAAAAGTTATATTCGTAGAATTAATACATAGTTTAATAAACTCTTTTATAATTATTGTAACCATAAAATAGTTTATTCAACAACTATGTACGTTAATACTATATAAAACTTGTACATTTGTCACCTATATAGTTGCTACTACTATGTCTTTCTCAGTATATTAAATTAAAATTATCAGATGCAGTATCGGCTTAATATTTCGATGAAATTTTTAACCATGTGATCTCGTGAACCACTAGATCTCGTGAAAAGAAATAAAAAGAGGAGTCTTCTCTCTGGGCGTCCTACTTTCTTCTCGCCTCGTTCCGTAACAACGAGTCACCCTCCACCTCTTCACCGGTCTCCAATTCAGAGCAGGTAATTCGGTTCTCGTCCGCCTCCGTACGTCTCCGACGAACATTTGAATACGGACGAGTTTTCAGGCGAGACGTGGCAGGAAAACGAGAAGCAGAAGGTGGAAGGAAATGGAACGACGCAGGCTAGGGGTGGGTCGCAACCCTGCCATCCACGTCTTTCTTCGACGAAATGACCTTCGCCAGTAAAAAGACGTGCCGGGACCGTCATCGTCTCCGTCGGCTTACGAACAGTCATCGTA